TGTCTAACCAGGAGCCCAACCAACCACCTTATGGGGAGCCCCAGCAGCCATTCAGGCAGTCTTTTCAGCAGCCTAACCAGCAGCCTTACAGGATGTCTAACCAGCAGCCTAACCAGCAGCCTTATGAGATGTCAAACCAGCAATCCAACCAGCAGCCTTATGGGATGTCGAACCAGCAACCCAACCAGCAGCCTTATGGGAGGTCGAACCAGCAACCCAACCAGCAGCCTTATGGTATGTCCAACCAGCAGCCCAACCAGCAGCCTTACGGGATGTCAAACCAGCAGCCCAACCAGCAGCCTTACGGGATGTCTAACAAGCAGCCTGATCAGCAGCAGCCTTTATCCAGGGATGAAGAGCAACCAGAAGAGCCAGGCATCTTCACTGTGGAGCCAGTAGTGCAGAATCAAAAATCAGGCCCTGTTAATGATTACTTTGCCTACTCCATCTTCACCATGGTTTGCTGCTGCCTGCCAATGGGAATCGTTGCCCTTCTTAACGCCAATGCAGTAAGTATATCTATCTCATACTTGGTCTACATTCTTCTTTTACATTAGAGTTTCACTCACAAGTCAGTCAGCTGAAGAACCTGTGGTATCTGTGGAACAACTTTCTCAGCAGCAATTGAGATAGAAACTTGAACACAGTCAGGTTTTCCGACACTTTAATTATCCCAGACACAAATCAGAACTGGTTTTGGAAGTGCTAAAGCAAGATGACAACCTTCAATGACTTTCCCAAAGCTCATATCTCAACTACCTCCAGGACCATGTCCTGAAATGCCTAGGCTATGAACTCAACAAATGTAAATGAGCTCAACAACTCTCTGAATTAATTAATTCATCCCGAGTATGAGTGATTGTAAACCTCTTAGCATCTTAACACATGAACACGAAACGTGAAACATTTTGGTGTAACATTACAAGTGATAAAATAAAAGTATTTAGACGTTTTTTATACCCTCATTGAGCATGCTTCTTTTGAGCTTGGGCTTATCTTTTTTATTGCTTATCTGCTGACTTTGTGAGAGCTGCTGGTTGTAAAGTAAATTTCTTCCCACAGATAATGACGAGTGATCCTTGATCCCCCTTTCTTTACACGTGGTTAACCATTTTGGGCACCAATCTTGCATCTTCAGCTGTTAAAGACAAATATGTTTCTCAACAATTCACAATGATTAATGGGTGACTACAGACTAAATATAGCCTTCTGGTCTGGTTGGTTTGAATTTGCATCTGCATAGATGGCACATTTATTGGGACTTTTAGGTCTTGACCATTATTGGTTTGTCAATTAATCAGTTTGAATTTTCTTAAAGCCAAGGTGATGTTGAACTTCTGGCTATTGCATAACATACATTTGACTGAGTTGGTTGCTTTTTATTTATTGGTAGGGATTTTCTACGGGGCCAATCAGCGAACAGAGAGAGAAGTCAGACACGATGAGATCAATTTTATTCGCTGTTTTAGAATTGTAGTTTTCCTGTAGGTTTGGCAACGGGAGCGGAAGTGGACTAAGCTGTTCAGTCCAAGTCGGTCACGCTTCCAAAGACTGAATTAACATTAAGAGCCGCCTCGTTCGGCTCGGCTCTTCTCTCTTTGCAGTGAAGGAAATATTTTTTTAGCGCCGAACTGGTGCATTGCCTAAGTCATGGACCAGCATTAGATTGGATACAACTTCAACACAGTCAATGTTTCCCAGTAGTTGAGAGCCCAAAGCCTTTGAACGGAGCAAATAGCATCGGACAAGGGGTTGGTTTTTACAATCTTGGTGAAATAAAAAAGCATGAACTCATAAGTTTATTGTGCATTGAAGAGTTACTGGCAGTTGTAAAGTCACTGAAGCGGGGCATTTAATTTGCCTTTGTGTTTTTTTTTTGTTTTTGTTTTTTTTAAGTCTTCTCTAATGTGCTGTAGAACTATGAAATATTTATCACTTGAGTAACATGTTGAAGTTTACGCCTATAAATTGATCAAACCTTGATCACAAAGCTCTAATTTGGTGAAGGCCAGACTATAGCTTCACTTACCAGTGGTTTAGATGGTGACAAGTCATTGAGCACATTTGTTCACAAGAAAGTGAAATTAACTGAGGTAATGTAGAACGACATCAAAACAGTCCTGAGGATTAAGAATTAAATAAAAATGATAGGCTTTTTTTTGGTCAGGGTTTGCTAAGATACAAATCCAATTAAGCTCAGAGAACTTGGAAAAATTAAAATGAATAAATAAATAAAATACTTTTAGTCAAATAGATGGCATTCTATTTGACTATTGTATGATTTCTTAAAGAAAATCTTTGTGCTGAATTTTATTAAGGGATATGAAAGTAAATGGGAAAATTAAAAATAAAAAACATTTTCTGAAATCTGTTTGTCTTTGTCACACGTTTGCCCCTCTTTGTGCTGCTCCAGCACACACAGACCCAACAAAATACATTATAGTTAATGGTTTTAATGTTAATTGATGTAGATTCTTTTACAAGACACATACATATTTCTTGGGAAATATTAAAAGGCTGCGTATTATTAATGAACATATGTTGTACCCTAATGGGCATATGAGATGTGATGTCTGCAGGAAATATGATTCAATCTTTCCTAATCAGAGGACAAAGTTCTGACACGTGAATTGTAAAGTCTAAGGAATTGTTTTCCGTAATCCAGATAGCCAGAACCATAAAATACTCAGGTCTTCTTTTGGACAGGACCCAAGCCTCATCATGCCCAGGTCCTCAGCAACAAAAGGTTCTAGAGAGCAGATGTAACCATGTCTTGTTTTGTTTTCTTTGCTTTCTCTGACCCTCAGACTCGTAAAGCCAATGCCAGCGGTGACTGGGAGAAAGCAAAAAAGACCAGCAGGCGGGCCCGGATAATGAGTCACGGGGCTCTTGGACTTGGGATTGGAACTTATATCTTAATCGTTATAGCTGTTGCAATATATTTAGCGTTTAAGTAAAATTCCTTAAAAGTGAGTTCATCTCACTCTTTTTTCTCTCTTTTGTCAGTCTGAATCAAGTGCTGAGACAATCGGAAGACACCTAGCCATGTGTCATCAAAATCTGTCTGCTGATAAAAGTTATCCATCTCACTGATTTATTAATTTAATCCATTTGTCTCAACATGTTTCGAATTTTTGTCTCCACAGTCAATCACAATCGTTCCTCTATTTTCATTCTCATCAGAAGTATGCAGTTTTTTTTATTATTATTTTATCGTTATTTTAGCCAAAGTAGCATCTATGAAAAACCTTTTGTGACTCAAATTGAATGCAATAATATGTTAAGTACATTTCTCATAAAAAAAAGAAAATTCTTTCAGTTACTTAATAATAACCTCTTAGCTCTGTGTAAAATTCTTCTCAGACAATAATTATGATCATTTGCATTTCTCTTAATAGCCTTTAAGTAAGTGAATGAAGATTTTTTCTTTTTTTGAGTGTTAATTTAATATTACATATTCTATGTACAGTCTTAAATGATTAAATGTTTACAAGTATGAAAAAAATAAATAAAACAAAACGAACTTAATTCTGTGATTACTTGGCCTCTGTCAGTTTGTAAGTTAAAAACATCCATCCATCCATCCATCCATCCATCCATCCATCCATTCATTCATTCATCCATCCATCCTCAGATTCTCCTTTTTTCATAGTTCCATATTTAGGATCTAATCACTGTAGGAACTGTTACACATCCATTTTCGGACTCTGTACATTTTACATATATAAGTTTGCTAATGGAGGTGAAGCATTCATCAGTCGAAGAGGTCGTGGCCCCCTCTGGTGGACACATTTGAAAGTGCTCAGCTTTACAAACTAGTGACGACTCACCAGTGAACCAACCAATTTAAATCTCTTGCTAAAATACAGTCAAGAGTCATCAAATAAATTAAGTTGAACTACAATAAGTGGACTTCTCATCAGTCCCGAAGACTGAGATCTCTCAGAGTGAACAGTAGCGGCCGAAAACCAAAAGGCCTTGAAGTCTAGTGTTGCTGGATAACGGCAAGTTTTGTTTTCCTGTCGATGAATGAATGTCGCCAGGTGTCCCACTTTAACTTCACCCACCCACCTGCTGGTTCCAGAAACAACAATAGAGAAGATAAAGCTGAACAAAGCTATACATTAAAAGGCGGACCCAAACAAGGACTAAATGACTTTAGGGAAATTAAATAAATTCACCTATCCATCCATCTATCCGTTATCTAACACACTCATCCTTCCAAGGACGAGTGATAAGTCTTTCTGCATGTCTCCTCCATGCAGAAAAACCTCAGGCTGGGACATTTGCCCACTCTATTACACAACCGACCGACTGCTTGACCGACTGTAATCGAACAGAAATCTAAAGCAGTTTCAAAAATAAAAACAGATTTCAACTTCAACTGAGCAGTTTTGGCGCAGTACTAATTTGATTTCAGATCAGCAAGCAGGTGGATCCGACTTCTGATTTAAACCCTCCATTTATTTCATTCTTGAGAAACTATTTTTTTGGTTCATGTTTAAGATTCTCAAACTGGTATGTGGTGCATAAACACCCACCATCCCTGATCACTAGAGACGAGAGGTGAAACTTTTTGTGCAGTTGATGTGAATTTTCTTAGCATTTTCTCTGCAATTTTGTGTATTTGCAGTATCAAACACCCGTTTCATTAGCGGTGGTGTTTGGTAGAAGAGGGCACGCTTAGAAATCTTTGAGAGTTAGTTTAAAGACTTCTGACTGTTGGATCACTTTTGGTGTTTCTGGCAACAATTTTAAACGGAAAAAGTTTCCGGCAATAAACGTTCAGGTTCAATGCTCCAATATGCTCAATGTGGCTCCAAATGTTAGAACATACACACACGCTTCTCTCTCAAATATTTTCACTCTGCACCTGACATCAAAATCACCATTTCTCAATACTTTCTGGATGTTGAGAAGTTTGTAAGAAATTAAAGTCAAAGTCCAGTCACTGGAGAAAAGGAAAAAAAAAAACTCAACCTCAAAATCAATATCAAAATAACGCATATTATTAAGATGTTTACTTGGATAGAGACCAAATGAAATGAAGCAACATATCCTCCACTCATACATACAATCTTAAAGCCGCTCTTATTGCCCAATCAGGGAAAACCACTCATTATACTGCTGTGTTTTTGTGAGGCCAGCCATGACAGGAGCCCTGTCATCTCTATTGCCCATCATCATCATCATCGTAAACCTGAAGATAAAGATAATTTCGGATGCCTCACTTCAACATTCAACAAGACTAGTCGCACAGCTGTGTAGAAGCAGGAGGGAGAAAATTGCATAACTCTTTACAGCTGCATCATGGATCACAGCAAGCAGATGAGAAGTCCTTCAGCGAGATGGAGCGCTGGGAATCCCTCCACAAACCAGCCCTCCGCTCCTCCGCCTTCCCAGGACAGATCTTTTCCCTTGTCTTCAAGAGAGCCACAGGTAACCATCAGCATCCAGCAACACTCCTCGATCTAGTAATACTGTTCTAATTTGTTTCTGTGTCCTGAATCTGGATTTACATTCATTTGGTTTAATGGAAAACATGTCTTATTTGACTTCTGCTTAACAAAGTATATAACAGCCAGTTTTATACTATAAATTATATATATATACTGTGTAAACTGGTGTTTGAGCGAAGCAAACATGAAGCTTCAACTTTCTTGCTCTTTCTTTTTTTTTTTTTGCATGACATAGCCTCTGTATTTCATTAAGAACTGAACCAGAGCAGAGGAGGCTGCACTTTGGACCGGCCAGAGTAAATTTAGCCTCTATCGATAATTACAGGAAGACATGATGGACATGTGGGAATAAGATTAGGAATCACTTTACACATAAAATTATAAACTGAAATACTGAAATCCTAAATGAATATCTGCTTAGCCTAGAAATTCAATAATTTCCTGTCTACTCAACATCGTGTCAGACTGTCCCAGAGCAGCTGTGGCTACTATGCAGTAGCTTGTGTTAATAAACAGGTGAGTGACTGAATGTGATGTGAAACATTTGGGGTGTTCTGCACTTTAAGTTTTTGATTCAACCCAGTTTTATCCTCTAATCTCTGAGACTCAACATTCACTTCCCCAAAAAAGCCAAATACAACCACAGCTCTCTGTTCTGTCTGTTTCTTCACGGCTGCTTTAGTTACCGGTGCAATTTTCTCACAGCTGAAAGTCGTCGATCAGATCTCAGAGTATTATGTAAAAGTCAACCTTCATTGTAACGTCGTCATCTGCCTCTCTTACGGGTTTATGTCTCTTCAGTCTAAATTTAAGGCCCAGTTTTAAAAAGGTTTTATTGCACTGCATAAAGTTTGGGTCTGGAGTCGAACAGGCTGCTGCAAAACATTTACTCTTTTTCTAATTATTTTATGGCAAATGTGCTGTCCTCCAGTTCAAACCAATTTCAACAACTCACTGATCAAATTGTGAGTAAACCATGCGGGTTTCAGGTAGTGTATAGGATTACAATAATAGAAAACAAAGAAAACTGATAAAACACATAGAATAACTGGGGCTCACACATTATGCTGTGAAATTAATTTAAATAAATATCTTTTAAAATGATCTGCGCTCTCCCAGCGGACTGTCGTGTTATGTAATAATGTAGATACCTCTTTGCTCAGTAAAAATTGTAAAAATTCTCCTTTTTTTAAATCAGACAGATTTCACTTATGTTTGTTGCTTTCACTTTACAATTTTCAACTCATGCTTTTGCGTGAATTCGATTTTTAATTTCTTCTGTGTTGAAAATAATTACATTGTTTGCTCTGCTAATAGTGGCAATGTTGTTTCTTAAATATCCAGAAGTCTTGCATTAAAAACCATTAGCATCTCACATGCATACATAGAGTAGAAACCAGATATTTACAAACATCGGATAAAAATACACATACACATTTTTTAAAATCATTGCCTGAAGTCAAATCAGAAAAAACATTTCTTGTTTTATCTTAGATAGAATTACCAAAATTATTTCTATTTGCTAGACGCCAAAAAAAAAAAAAAAAAAAAAACTTACAAAAAATGTTTTTTAGAGATTTTTTTTTTTTATTTTTTTT